GTACACGAAAATACACATACTTACTATGTAGGTCCAAATTTTGACATTTATTACTGAGTACGACGGTTTTAATCAATGAGACGAGGGACAGAATTTGACCGTGACCAAATTTTAATCAAAATTTCTCTCTTTTTCTTATTCTCATATTTTTAATATAAAATGAAAGCAACAACAAATTTCTATTTGACGTGACCATGAATCTTTATATAATACGGCCCTAAATGATTATTTTACTTCTTTTAAATTTTTTACAAATAAATTACTCTTAGAAAACTGACAGACTTACCAACACCACGTTATCGAATCTTAGAATGGTTACAGGGGCCTCGTGGAGATATGCAGATCTGAGGTCAATTATTGCTTAGTCTGAGGAAGTGATAAACAATAATCCAGTCAAGGCGTAAAGAGGGGTTTTGAAGATACCTCGAGTTAATAAAGAGTAAATGTGCTTAAATACACTGACTCAAATAGCTTTAACATAAATAAATAAATAAATTCTGAAGAAATTTTTGAGATCATGTACTAGATATAACTGATTTAAATAAACAGCACTACAAAATTTTTCGGTGTCTGAAACTGCTAAGACTTTAAAATGCTTTTAAGCCAAAATTTTTCAGTAGAGCATTTACAAAAGACAGTTCTTTGCCATTGTGGTTCTTCAATATAAATTGAAGTGTCTGTGCTAACCTGATTTAAATCAATCAATTCAAGTTAATCAAAAACTCATCAAAGAAGAAATTAGGGGTCAAATTCTCACTTACTTGGATCGTAACTAAACATACGTCAGAGAAGTGCTTTTAAGTATTTTTAACGAATTTTCTACTTACTTAAGACACCTATGGGATTTAATTTTGTTTGACCATTATTTGTATATATTTTTAAGTTGTAAAGAAATGAATCGAATGAAAAACACTATCAACACTGAATATAAGAATTCGATATGAACGCAATCGTGTAATCTAGTAAATTTTAAAATTTCTGTAGAACACCAATATATAAATATTTCCGATTTAAAACCATGAAAGTCGAGAAATAACAAAAACTTCAAGATGAAAGTATGACGATATAGTTCACTTTATTTTTTTCCAAAACCAATCGAAAATATCGACATGGCAGATATTTTTGCTGTGAATGCAGTGCGGATGCTGTAAAGAGCAACGCTGATTGGAAGAGAAAATTGGTAAAATATATAAGTAAGCAAAAAACAGTTCTACCTATATAAACACATTTGCAGTGGGGGTCGGTATTAATTTTATTGCGTAAACTACAAAGTCATACATCATCTCACAAAGAACAAGTACTTGAACAGATTGCTTAATCTGAATTTGCAAGTTCATGTTGCTTAAATAAAGACTAAATTGTCCATTGTTTTCGAGTTCAACACGTTTGAGTCTGGTCAAAGAGCAATGTTTAAGGAAAGTGGTTAAAATATCAGAGCTGATAAAGCCAACAACATTTTCATTTAATTCCCAGAAAGCGGATAATTCATAGATGCAGTAGTAAATGAACAAAACCCAATTTAATGACTTAATCGCAGAGCCCAGTGCCTTTTAGACTTTGCTTTTCCAAATGTAATACGAAATAGTTACTCGATTAAGTAGTAGGTGGTTGACTTGTTTATAAGTGCATAAAACAATCTTCCGAGACTTGTTAATACGAAGGACTAAAACTAATACTAACAAGACCCTTTTGCAGACTTTTTGCTTACTCGAAGTCAATGCTTATGATATATTATTTAAAAACTAGAAATATTATACCTTAAGATATTTGATATATAGAAATACTATTTTTGCACATGAATATACCATATGCAATGTATGAATAATTAATATTAAAAATTATATAAAAATTTAATAAAATAAATAATAATATATTTGCGATAAAAATATATTACTTACAATAGAAATCCATTAAAAGCTATGTGCTCGGCGAATCGCCTTCTCCTACAGGTGATGCTATATTGCTATCTGATGATGAAAGTGGTCGACATATGCCTAATTTAGTTAATCCTAAAGGCATGCCCTTAAGTATTGCAACGGCTTCATCCAAATCTAGCCCATTTAAACTATGTTCGCCAACACTAACCAAACGATCGCCGGGATATATTTCATTAGTTGTTTCCGCAGAACCACCGCGTATAAGTCCGCGTATCACAATAACACTTCCCTCGGGATCTAATGGATCTTGATAGTCCAATATGGAGAAACCAAAACCCTGTTCAGTTTTTTCAATTTCAATTGTTGTAACATCAGAACTCCAAAGCGCTAGCCCAGATACATTTTCCAATGATTTAGATCGTTGCTGATCGGTCAACGTGGCAGTGCTCGATGTATAAAGTGAACTTTCCGATTGCGCTTTTGTCAATAAGTTTTGCAGACTTTGATGGCCTCCAGGTAGCAGACTACGCGTTTCGAATGCTTCTGGATTTTGTGAAGTATTTATAACTGATGGTGCTGTTGGGCCGCGCGCACAAACCAGTTTTACATGTGTTGGCAGTTCTTTGAGTATCTTAACAACTTCGATGTGTTTCAGTCCTTGTAACTTGTATTCATTCACCTGTAATAGCTCATCACCGGGTTTAAGTATACCTTGTCGTCCCACTGGTCCGTCTTCAAGTATGGAACGTATATAGTGATGTGGACGCTTCTCAATGCCACACTCTACGTCCACGGTGCCCTCAAGGCTGATTCCTAGACCTGAAAGTTTATTTATTTCGGCTACAATAATTTCACTTTCGGGAAACTCACTTTTCCAAGCCACCTTAAGTGATTCAACACTGGGACTCAAGGTTGGGGTTTTCGGAGTAATTGCCGTCATCGTCTTCATCGCTGCCCCAGATGTTGGCATTGTAACGGATACAGTGGTAGTTACGTTTTCAATTTTTACCATCTTTGTTGTGCTATATTGCCTTATAAGTTGCTTATGCGGTACTTCGTGGTGATATTCATCAGTGTCATTACCACTGTCCAAGCCGTTACCATTAACATGCGTAGCATTGCCATTAGCAACAGGTGTTGTTGGTGTTTTTAATAATTTATTACTACCAACATTGCTGTGATCACTTCGATCCAACATACTCGACATATTGGACTCGACCGTATCCCGAGATGGCAGTTCACCATAATCCAAAATCGCCGTACCGCCATCAGTGGCAATGGAATCGGCATCAGATTTTGGTGGTAGCCATGACAGTGTAGCTATCGATGGTGATGCAGGTAGAGATACTTGCGATTGAGTATCGCCCTTCAATTCAGTTAAGGCAACTTGTAGATGTTCAAACTTACGGCCGCGTAAGAAACGTTCTAACGTTAAATGTACTTCGATATCGGTATTGCGAAGGATTTCAACCGCTTGATGATTTGTAACACCAGCTAATGTTTTACCATCAACAGCAACTATACGATCATTAATTTGTATCTGCCCACTCATTTCGGCGGCACTACCTTCAATTATGCTCTTCACAAATATGCCAGAGAGATCTTCTTCCTCGCATACATAACCCGCCACAGTAATGCCAAGTCCATAAACATTTTTACATAACTTTACTTCATACGTTTCTGTTTCTGGTGAATCCATGTAATTGGAAGATGTTGATGAACAACGATCAAGTTCATTTGCTGCATTAGGGTTGCCAGCAATATTGCCAGCTATCACAGTCTCAATGTGGTCCATGGTTAGGGATAATGATGTCATTGTATGCATTGCAGGTGTGCCGGCACTTTTCGATGATGAAAGATATGGGAGAGCTGATGGCGGTGGTGAAACAATCGAAAACGGTACAATGTCCAAGTCTCTGGGGCACATACGCGCTGCAGTCGACGACAGCTCTGTCGGTATCGGTGGCAGTGGCAAATCAGCTAGCTCAGTGTCCGGCGTTGGTAAGAAACCAACGCTAGTAGCACTTGTTGCAAAACTGGGATTTTGAAATAGATGACGCGACAGTTCTTCCGGGTCGGAGAGGAGCTTAGTTGGAATAATTGGCGCATGACTAGCCAACGTTTGATAATCGGTGGCGGTCGGCTCCACCGGTCTTGCCACAATCAATCGAACATGAGCTCCAGTCTGACGAAGAACCGTTGCTACTTGTTCGGAACTGAAGCCACGCAAATTAACTTCGCCAATTTGCAATAGATGATCGCCACACTGTAAACGCCCATCACGTTCGGAGACGCCGCCCGGTGTTAAGGCCTTAATGACAACGCCAGTGCTGCGACCACCAACCAATATAAAACCCAAACCATTGCCATCATTTACCAAATCGATTACCTCCACCTGAGACCATTCAGTGCTTAAAACCATTTTGACGACGTTAGGAATGTGTGACGTCGTTTCAAGGCAGCACCAACAGCAGCAGCAACATTAGTAACAGCAGCGTCAGCAACAGCAGCAGTAGCAGCAACAATAGCAGCAATTTTTGTTGTTGTTGTTGATGTTGATGTTGGTGTTGTTGTTGTTGTTTTTATTGTTGTTGTTGTTGTCGTTGTCGTTGTTGTAAAGCGTTGGTGTTGGTGTAAAACAACTTCTAACATGACGTGATTTTCGTTTAACAACGCACACACTGCAATAAGTTTAATGATGATGATGATTACGATGAAGATGACGATGACGATGACGATGACAGTACAGATTGCAAACGTTGCCAGTACCAAAACCAACAAATGTTGCAGGGAAGCGTGCGGTAACAAAATTTTATTTGCTAACAATTTTTTGTTTTAAAGTTCAAAACATGCAATATTGTACTATGTTCCCTTTTTTACTTAGTCTTACTCTTGCGATAACGAGTACGAACGAACACGCACGGATTGCAAGCGAGTTTAATGATTTCAGCGAGTTTAAACCTATGTAACGCGTAATTGTAGCTACGTTATTTCGCCGTAGTTCTTATGTGTTTATTTTTTATATTATTATTATTTTTATTTTTTTTATTTTTTTTTACTTTTTTTTGTTTTGAATTTACTGTAAAAATTATTTGCTATGTTTACTCTTCTGTTGTTGTTGTTGTTGTTGATGTTGCTTTTGTTGTGGCATGTTGGTTATGTTGGTTATGTTGCTATTGTTGCTCTAATTGTTCAAGTTATTATGTGGCAGCATGCGAGGCAACATTGCACAGCAACAAAATATTTGTACGGGAGGGTGGGGGCGAGGGGTTGCGCATAAGACACACGTTAACACACCTTTAACCGCTAAAGTTGTTTTATGTTATTTTACGTATCGTTACGATTGCGCTTACGTGTACGTTAACAATGATAACATTAACCAAATGCCGCTAATCGTCGTCGCATAATGCTGCTGTCACTAAATACATAAAAATAGACATACAAATATATCTGTGGTTAAAAATATGATATGGTCTGTAACATACTATATAACATTGGGTTGCAATATTTGCAGTATGTTTGTTTAACGGCTGTGATATGTTCAGTGTTTTTATGTTTTTATGTTTTTACGTTCTTATGTGTGTGGCAGTATTTGCGTTCTTATGTGTAATGCTTTGTCTACTTTTTTCTCTTCACGTTTTTTGTGTTTTTTTTTGTCTATTTACATACAGTATTTTTATTTTGTCACATAAGTATTAAGCACCTATTTCCGTTTCCGTTGATGTTAGCACATAAGTGCATACACATACGCAGCACTCATACACTTAATTACATTTGCCATGTCGGTGGTAATGGCAGCATATTAGAGTACGTTCAGTCTATGAATACGAATGTACGTGTGTGTTTGTGTTTGTGTTAGTGAAAAGGTACGTACTACGTAGGTCTGTCAGTCAACGGAAATTGCTATGCAAAATAACTGCGCTGTGTCGTAAGTTTCTTTAGCTCGTGACTTCATATTATCTCATATTGGCAGTTCTCTAATGATGATGATGACAATTATGAAGTGCTGATTTGTTTTTTTTTTGTTTTTGTGCGCTATTTTAGTTGGAGTGCTCATTGCTTTGTTGGCAATAATAGCGATAATATTTTTAGAGCTTCACTAAGTTAAAACGGTTTTTTCTAATATCCTTGATTTAGTTTTTTATTGAGGATTTTTTTCATTCAATAAAGTGTGTTAATTTATGTTTTATTTATATTGTCATGCTGTTTCTTTGATGATTATTTTTGTAATTCCTTTTCAATTCTCTGCTAATTATTAATAGTTTATCTCTATTCGATATCCTAACCTAATTGATATGAGCTAAGCAATTCAATTTCTTTAAACATTTATAGTATCTACTAAATATAGCGCAAAATAATATAAATTTTATAATATATGCGAAAAGTTAATAAATTAATTAATTAATAATTAATAAATTCTGCTTTTATTTAAACTATTTCAATTTCTTATCGTTTAAGTATGCTGATACATTTAAAAAGTTAATAATATTTTGTTTAAAAAAGTTTAAAATAGTGATTTCTATTAAAACCTTATTTTTACACACATATTCTATCCCAAGGGAAAGTACTTTGAGCTTTTCTTATCCACCTGATAGAACTGTTTCTTGCCGACTTAAGGACATGTGCCTTTTAGTGTTACAAATACGCTGACCTCTAATCTACGTATGAACAATACTAGTCCATGGTTTTACAACGGGCTGTTATTTAAGCTCAATTAGGTACAAGTACTTCATTTTAACGTAACCTATGTGACAATAACAACTTTAATTTGAATCTCCTATATAAAGCTATAATTTATTAATTATAAATAAACCTATATACAACAGTTTGACGAATTTCAAAGTATTAACATCATATCAACTAATGTCCTATCTGCAACACTGGATGGTATAGTTAACTTCCATGATACTCTATTTGCAGAATTAATATTATTAAACTTTAACATTACACGAAACTAGATTGAAGATCAGTGTTAAATGTCTTACTGGAAAATACTGTTTATATGATATACGCGTAAGGTGTAAAATCCAATTATGTCATTGAGGTAGCGGTCCTATCGGTCAATCTAAACGTGAACTTACAAAACGATGATTGATTGGTTAGGTTATCATCCTGAAGGATGAAGGACTACTGCTGTAGCTATAAGGAAAACAAAAAAATGCCTCACATATATTAAACATGTTGTGCACTTATTTTCTAAAGGATCTTAGATGAATGCTAGATCTCTCTAGATAAATGCTAGATACTCTTTATCTTGAGATCAATCAAAGGTTCGAAATGGTCTTAATTCCTTCGATTAGGTATCTATGAACACCGTAATATCTTAACCTCATTTCGAACAAAATCACTTGTCTATAGGTATAAGTCAAGAGTAGTCATTTTCATTATATGAATATACAAAAAAATAGTTAAGTTATGCTAGGATTAAAATACGATTAGTAAATTTATTATTTTCTACCTGTCGAAATCTTATTTTAACAGAGTAATATTACTTCTAATCAACTATCATTTAAATCGTTTGTTTATAAAAAAAAATGAGTAAAGCACTATAGAAACGTATTGAAAACACATTAAGTCCGGTGTTCCCATTTCAAAAGCAATCATTTTGAATGCAACCTTCTGCAAAATATGGTTACAATGGTCAACTGTTAAACAGCATTTAGATTTTATTTAACAATACAGAAAACAGTTAGACACTCCAATAAAAGTCGAATAATATTCTGAACTTTCTGGTGCTATCAAATTAATGTAAATAACAATAACATGAAAAAAATCATCCTCCAATATGAAGCCACATTATCACTGCCCGACATTTGTTAGAAGACGAATATTCTCTCTAGGATCAATGCTTTTCAAATATCCATCCAATATCATCAATATCATTAATATAGGTATAAAGACCTCAGCTCACTTTATAAAACTGACACAATAAACGGGTTTTAAAACTATAGTATAACAGCAGTCACTCTCTACATAGCAGTGTTTCCTAATGTAGAGTGTACGCTCCACAAAAGGCAACTTGAATATTAAGAAGGAAAGTTGGTTCTTACACACAAATTGACGCTGTTAACTTGAAAACAACGGAGTTCTGATAGTATGGAAGTCTACGGATTGATATTGTAATACAGGAGCAAAAGAAAAAAATTGTTTATCGGAAAGGTATGGAAATAAGGCATTTTTTTTTTGTGTGAAAAGGAATAAATATTCAATTGATCTGCTCAACTGTCCGCACAATACTTGTGTATATGTGGTTAAATGGAGCGTACCACTACAGAGTTTAGAAACAGTGCTATACAGACTACAGAAAGTACACTTAAGGATACTAATAGTGTAAAATATAAAGAGCATATTTCTCCTTTTCCTTCTCTGATCCACAACAACAATAGAAGTCATTGAAAGTAGCCACTAATCCATTGCTATGCCTCTCCATTAAGCAGTGTTCGGTCAGTATGATTGTGTCATACTTGCATAAACTATATATAATTCCCCTCTCCCCTTAAATATTGTGTAGTCTGTATTGTTCTTAATAGAAAATTGCAAAAGTTTAATAAACTATTTTAACGATTTCAAATTAAGTTATTTTTTCCTTTTTTTCTGTATTAAAAATATTGCAAAACTAACTAACAAGAAGCAATATTGTTGATAGCGCCCGTGCTTAACCTTAAACAAATGAAAGTCCTTACAAGCACATCCAATTAACCACTGATATAAGGGAATTACTATATAAATCAAATATTTTTCTAAACTCCTCTCGTTACAAGGAAATATGAAAGCTTCCGCAACACATTTGTATTATCTTGAAATTCTAAGGTTTTAGTTTTCTTTTTTGTTCCACTTCTTGCCGGAACAAATTGAAATTTCCTATTTTGTGTTTCATAATTTCCTGGGTCATCAGTTTGGGTCACAGTTTCAGCTCTTTTGTTGAGCAAATTTTTATTATTTGAATTTTTATTTACCCTTTGCGGTTTGATTATTATTTTTTCATTATTAAAAAATTGTATTCTTTTGATTTTTCGCAGAGCCTGTGAATTGGTCAGCAATTTTAATGCTACTTGTGGCTAGAATATAGTATGTACTAGTCAACATCACATTGACTTCAAAGTCTGTGCCACATTAGACACGCTCCACTGGTCACGGCAAAGACCACTTTCGGTTTAGAACAATAAAAATACTTTGTCCTGCTTTGGTTTTCTTGGCTGTTATTTTTATTGTAAATTCTTTTTTTATAGCTTTCTAGCGTGGTGCGTATGGGTTATGTTGATTGTCCTGCCTTCACATAACATGCACGTTCTAGAAATTATGTGCACCCGCGCTTTTCCCTACACTTCCCACTATAATTTGAACATTTTAACATTTCAACATTTGAACATTTTCTTTGTGAAGAAACCCCAATATAATACGACTTTGCGGTTTAGGTTTAGGTTTGGGTTTGGGTTTGGGTCCCACGGAATTGTTTCTTGCTATTAGCAGTTGCTGTGCATTTCTGGATGGGGCAGTTAAGGAACTAACAAA